CAATCTCAAAAGGCAAGTTTGAGAATAGTGCTCGCTTTGCGGTCTGCTTCGAATTTACGTTCGAGATGAGCGAGTTGAGCAGAGTAAGTCCGTCTCCAGACTTGGAGGTGCGAATCTCAGACATGTTGGCTTCACCAACTGGATCACGGTAGATGATATCCTTTGTTTGTTAGCCGATTTGACCATATGTTTGAGGGTGAGTCTTACATCATAAAACTTGTTCAGGTCAAAAGTCTCATCCCCTCGAGTGATAGGGAAGAGATCAATGATGATACCAAGATCATACAGATCCTTTGCGCGGACAGCTGCAGCTGATCTTGCCTGCTTGTCAGACGCATGGGGGTCGTCATTGTCGGTCACTATGAACAATCGACGACTTCCAAAGTTTGCGGCCTTTGTTGTGAAAATCTGGTTGGCGCAGAAGAGCACATTGGCCATGCTGGCAGGCTCCTCTGCAGGGGTCAACACTTCATCCTCATCTTCCCCCTCTTCAACCAGAGCCTTCAGGGCCTTGACGTCCTCTGCCGCGGGGACGTCAAGATCAGTGAACAAGTAACAATGAGGATAACCAAGTCCACTACGACCGTCACCCGAGTCCTGAAACTTGGACTTTTCAGTGCCGAATAGGAGAATGCCCATCATGTCCTTGGGATTGGAGATGATGCGCTGCTCCATCAAATGGTAGGCGCATTTCAACGCCGCCTGTACGGGACTATCCCGGTCTGCCTTTTTCGAGTCCGAATGCGGCGGTGGCTCAAGCATTGACTTGCTCACATCTATCGCGAGCAAGATGGCATCCTTTTGCGCCTTGTAACTCTAAAAGTGGATCAACATGGTGTAGGAGAGTAAGAGCCTTGATACTCACGTTCTCATCAATCTCCTGCTCCCCCTCATCTTCATCTTCTCGACGCCAATCTTGCTTGTCTGCCATTGTTGATGCGTATGTGTGCGTTATGGCAAAATGATGGTTCTCATTGCGCGTCAGCTTGAACTTAATAAAGAGCTGAGTGATCTCATCCTGCGGGCCATAGCTCTAGGCAAACGCGACCTCTGTAACAGGGGGGCGCGATGCTGCCTGTCGCGAGATCACGTGAGTCTGGGCATTGATTACCATCTTCATGATTGGCGGGGGATGTGTTGTTGAGAGGTACATGTATCGCCGCGGACTTTCCGCAGTGGCCAAGGTTCCTACTAGCGCCCAACATCTCCCGTCGGTGAAAATTCCGATAAGATGCGCTGCTGGCGATCCCGGAGGCCGTGGAAATGCGTGCATCATCGCCGCCCTAGCTGCCATACATAATAATTCTTGCGCCCCTCAGCTGTTTCTCATTACCAACCCTCACACCACTTCCAATTGACGTTCGGCCGTTCTCTTCTCTCCTTTTGTACTTCACATTTCAGTCTATTCACCAACAATGGCTCTACGACGCTCAGGGGGCCAGCTCTACAAGGGCATCTCCCAGGTCAGCTCCCATCGTCTTGCGCTCCCTCAGATCGCCAGCCAGAAGCGATATCTGGCCACCCCAGTCCCTCCCGTCACACAAGATGCCACAGGCTCCAAGGGCCCGACCGCCATGGTCTTTCTCAACATGGGAGGTCCTTCTACTATCGATGAAGTCGGTGACTTTCTCAGTCGTCTCTTTGTAAGTATCACCGACGTCCCGGAACCCCTCGGAGATGCTAACTTGTCACAGGCTGACGGTGACCTGATCCCCCTCGGTCGGTTACAAAACTACCTTGGCCCTCTCATCTCCAATCGACGAACCCCCAAGATCCAGAAGCAATACCAAGCCATCGGCGGAGGATCTCCCATTCGAAAGTGGTCCGAGTACCAGAGCTCCGAGATGTGCAAGATCCTGGACAAGATCTCCCCCGAGACCGCCCCCCATAAGCCTTATGTCGCTTTCCGATATGCGGATCCTCTGACAGAGGAGATGTACACTCAGCTGCTGAAGGACGGGTTTGGCAATGGCCGTGGCGGCAGGGCCGTCGCATTCACCCAATACCCCCAGTACTCTTGCTCGACAACGGGCAGCAGCTTGAACGAACTCTGGAAGTGGAGGCACAGGCTCGAGGGTAAGACCAACAAGGAGTCTGGTGACGGAAGCATTACATGGAGTGTCATCGACCGCTGGCCAGTCCACAGTGGTCTCGTGGAGGCGTTTGCGCAGAACATTGAGGCGAAGCTGGCAGAGTATCCCGAGGAGCGTCGCAAGGACGTTGTCTTACTCTTCTCTGCACACAGTCTTCCCATGTCTGTTGTTAACAGAGGTTTGTGCTCTCCCCCGGAAATATGAACGGACCTAACATGACATCAGGTGATCCTTACCCCGGTGAGGTCGCGGCCACCGTCTACGCTGTCATGCAGCGCCTCAAGTTCTCGAACCCATACCGACTGTGCTGGCAGTCTCAGGTTGGACCATCCGCCTGGCTGGGACCTCAGACCTCGGACAGTGTGGAGGAGTATATTGCCAAGGGCCAGACGGACCTTGTTCTTATCCCGATCGCCTTCACATCAGACCACATCGAGACTCTTTACGAGCTGGACGAGGAAGTGATTGGCGAGAGTGGCCACCGGGATACCGTCAAGCGAGTAGAATCGCTGAACGGCAGCCCCGTGTTCATCCAGGCTCTAGCCGACATTGCCAAGGCACATCTTGCCGGGAACCAAGCTTGCTCAGCTCAGATGGGCCTCCGATGCCCTGGTTGCAAGAGCGAGAGGTGCGCTGAGTCGAAGCGATTCTTTGCGAGCCAGCAGGCTGGTCTTGTCTAAGGGGGATACACCCAAGTAATGTTTATGAGTGGTTTGGCATGACACTGTATTATAGCTCGGGAGCGCGAGCGTTTATGTGTAATCAAAAGTGTAGTCTTTCAGGGCAGGTCAGGTAGTTTACGGGTCAAGAGTGGTTGGGTCTGTATAGATACGCCGATGGCAACTCTTCGCTTCACTCTGCAGCTGGGCATGTTCGCATCTTCTCGTGGTTCGGTCTAAAACTTGTGATGCTCTTATGATCATTTTACGTCACTACATGTCCAGAATCGGTAAATTCTCCATATCAAGCCAATCCGGATCGAACGGTGAAGCATAAAGCATGTGTTCACAACATGATCTCCTTGCCTGCGCGGGGACTGCCAAAGCGTATTCATCCCCACGACTAGAGCTGCCGTGCAGCAATAAGACCCGGTTGACCTCGGTACCTGTTGAAAGGTATCTTTCACTTTTACCGTTGGCACAGTGGTTTATTGTGTTCAACAAGAGCACCATCCAAAGCTTTATAACAACAATATAAGACTAGGTTGATCTCTTATCTTATTTTTAGTCAGTATAAGAAGAGACTTATCATAATTGGCCTAAATCCGCAGTCCGCGCGCAAGCAAGGAGATAAGTAGGAAAGGAGGCACAAGTCAATATCGAGAGCCCAACTGGTCGATTCACACTGGAAAGAGTACCGGCCCGAACTACTTCTTTGCTTGTGGCGAGGAACAGAAAAAAGGACATCCAAGAGCTATGCTCTCAGCCACAGTAGCTTCAACAGCTGCCTCGGTAGCATCAGCCACCCTCTGGTTGTTTCCCCCAGCAGGAGTCCTCTTGGGCTTTCTCTTCTTCTTCTTCTTTTTCACCCCAGCGCCAGTTGGTTCTCACTGCAGAAAACTGACGCCAGCTAGGTAGGTATTGATGCGGTTGGGCATGAGGCCTGAACCTACAATCCCAGCATCCAAGATGGCGCCGGGGCCTGCGTTCCGCCAGCTGCCACCACACGAATCACGCCGTGATGCCAGCAGGCATCGGCGGAGTGCCCGTGCTTGCGGAAAATGCCTGATATGCCCAAGACTCATATCAAGATCTAGAAGTCCCCTATATACTATAGCTTTATGACCATACTTAGACCATGATGTGCTATTTCTTTTCCTGTCGTGGGATTCTTGTTCAGCGGTGCGGCCCCACACGGCCCCACACGGCCCGGACCTTACTTCCTCAGCCCAAAACAAGGAACAAAGTTGTTATCCGGGCCGCGCAGGTCACGAAATGTGCCAGACCTGCAAAGGAATAGGAATATTCAAAGACATGAGGCTGCTGGCTAGCAGGCCAGCATCGTAAGCCTAGAGCAATCAGGATTTTCGCCTGGAGCAGCGACAAAAGAGCAAGTGATAGCCAGATGAACCACGAACACCACGCTGTGAGGAGACCGAGTTCACCAACAAAAAGGCAACCGAAAGAGCAAAAATAGGATCGACAACGGCAGGATTCGAACCTACGCGTGCGAACACAATGCCTAGATATGCAGGATAGCAGGGCATCGCCTTAACCACTCGGCCACGTTGTCTATTCCGAATTTGGTGATGGACGACCTCGATATCCACCTCCATGTGTCCATACCAGGGGCTGCATTACATGATGAAACATGGAGTGGAAAGAAGATGGAGAAGTTCGGATCCGGCTACCAAGTCGATCAAGGCTGAAAGCTCGCGAGGAGCTCGATTATTCAAGCGTCATCCATCAGTCCTTGAGGTAGCGCCAAGTAGGAACCGACTCGGATCAGCAAACGTTCGCATTCTATATCCATAGTAGGAAGCCTCCGTATTCACATCGTCTTCTCAAGGAAGCTCTCGAAGTGCTGTCGCGGAGGTTGTGCCTAGTGCTGTGTTGTGGATCTAACGAGAGGATCACCAAATCGCCCATCTGTCTTCCATTGGGGCCCTGTGAACGTGTCTTGACGGGATGTGCACCAGACCAAGGATCTTTCACCAAAACTGATGTGTAACCCGTCAACAAAAAAGCTGCTCGTTCTTGTTTCCCTTGAATCGACCACTGATGGGGGTCGGCGTTTCTGGTGGTTCTATGATGATTGTAGGCCAACCCAGCCCCTCCGCGTCTAGTAAGGAGAACTCCGATGAGGCAGAAGGTGCATTCAATCAAACAGCTTGCTTAAACCGCATTCGACTGGGCAAAAAAGAAACAAACTGACCGCCAATCTCTCTGATGAGGTGCAAAAAAGTATCGATAGAGATAGGATTCGAACCTACGCGTGCGAACACAATGCATATCTGGCGAAGTCGCTTCAAGTGCATCTCCATAACCACTCGGACACTCTACCTTGCTGATTTGATGGTCGTGGAGACGCTCACATTTGCTTCAAGTGTTTTCCTCCCTTGTTTTGCAGGGTTTTCGCAGGTTTCCTGCAGGTTTCCTAATTCGGACATCCCAACGGTGGGACCCACTCACGGCGCCCCACTCCTGACCTTTTCTTAGATACAGTACCTATTTTTTCTCCCGTTCACGTGAATGATCTTGATCAAGATCAGATAACATGAAGATCAACAAACTCGTGTATTCAAAGGGCTGCTCTCGACACCCAAGATGGTGCCGAGGGCTCCCCGCTGGTTGTGTTGTCCCTTGGAGAGGCGACGGTTTCGGTCCAAGGTCCTGTCGACGAGCTCGAACTATTGAGTTTGAAGAAGAAAACAGTTAGGCTGACCAAAAGAAATATGATGAAAGAAAGAAGTGCTTTAAAAAATGCCAAGAGAAGCGACCTATCAATGATGTCAGCATACTCCATGCAGTAAAGCAACAGGCCAACAGCAATGGATGGGAGAATGAGAACGTGTTTTGAAGTCTACTTGGTGAACTCCAGGTAGTCATCGGGTACGGGGTACGGGAAGGGGTAGAGTAGGGTAGGGATAATGGGGCCAGATGACGACGGCGAGACAGGCTGGAGGGCAAGCAAGATCGAATGCTTGACACGAAAAGAATGACATGACAGGATTTTGACCTGTTGACGGTGTAAGAATCGGGTTGTGATGGTTGTTCAAGAGACATGATTCAAACAACCCGCAAGCATCACAAAAATAAGTTTCTATTCTCATCCCACGCAACCCACCACTATATCAACCATGACGTTCACCGTAAAGCTAGTGACATGTAGCCTTCTATCGTCAGGGTGGTTGATGATGATTTGATTACCCTATACAACAACTAGCACTTACAACAAGGGCACTGGGCGTTCCGGTGGCCGCATTCTGGTTTGCATGGTAGAAAATCAACATAAAGACAATAGAAAACTACCATGAAACATGAAGTATCATGAGAACCTCTTACTTGTTATTTTCTAAATTTTGCTAACCCTTTAGTATGATCCTTAGAGGAGTTTCATCTTTCTGGCGTCTTTCTCGGCTAAACGTGTTTCCGAGGACGCGTTTTGGATATGCTCTCAAAGAATTAGCCGTCTTTGCTGTGTATTTGGCTGAGAATTTGCAGTATTTAAATCGAGGCGGACGAGCAGCCACAGTGATACATGCGTCGACCACGTATTACCTACTGTAAGTGAGACGGGGTTGGCTCATGTCGAGTGACGTGGATGGATGGTATCGAGAGGCGGTCGAGTGGCTCCTTGGCGGAGCCGGGCTGGGCCGGGGCCCAAGACCCACCATGGGAAGGGAAACAACTTGACGGACGGGAAGTTGGCTGTGTTTGATGTTTGACGGGGAATAAACGAGGGATGGACGGGCTCTAGCACAGACGTGGGTGCGGCCGAGGCGCGCCACTTGACAGCGTTTGGACGATGTGACGGTCAGAGAAGACAGGAGAGTTTGGCACATTTGAAGACGAGCATGTCATTGTTGATACTTGATATGACTGACTCAGTATTGATAGAGCTCTGGAGCTGCAGGTTGGAGCTTCTGACGCCAACTGCCTCGCAACTCTGAGAAGAAAGGAGTTGCATACCCCAACACAGACCGACTATTTGCTGGTGATCAAATTTCAAGTCAAGCAGCGGGCATGTCTTGTTGTGTGCTTCAGACCACTCGTCAAGGGTGCTTGGCTAAGCTCCTTGATGTCTTGCCTTCCTGTGCCGTGTTGTGTGAGGAATGGCGGTAGTTGAGACCATCATGACTGAGATTGTTCGTGCCACCGCATCACATTAAGAGAATGCATTAACCTGCGCTGAGATAGGAGAACTGTAACCTCCTTAAAGATGGTCGTCTCGAGATGCCGAATCCCTTGGCGCGTCGTCCCATCCATGCGACGCGACCAGGCTGGACTGCCGTTCCCCTTTTGGAACCAAGCTTAAGCTCGGAGCCTAGGGGGAGCTCCTAATGACAACTGGGCTGTGAGCTCCATTAAAGGGACTCCACGAACGGCAAAACAAGATCAACAGCGAAACGATCCAAGACTCAGAGACTGCAGCCCAGAGCCTTATTACTACGTCTCACCAAGTACGGGTAATTTGCTTCAAGCTTGGAGGCTGGGAGATTGGGGGAGGGAGAGCTCCAGCACAATGCCATTTAACCCCTGTCAAGGCCGTTAATTGGACCCGTACCCCCAGCAACCAATCAGGAGCGTGGACTGATAGTGGCCGTCCAGCGACCTTCCAGCAGCCCTGCCCGCTAATTCTCCAGAGCTTGCCCCTGGGCCTTGGGATTTGGGAGCCCGCCCCCTGAGACGCTAAACCTCTTAAGGCATAGTGTCAGAAACCCCTTTTGTTGCAGGACCAGGCCAGCACGCTCTGCCCAAGGACGCTTCTGCTGGGGGAGAACAGCACATCAGAATTTCGTCTCCTTGTTCCGCCTGTCGCTCGCACCCAAAATTTCCCTTCTTCTCCTCGACTCTCTTTTACCCCCGTTCCGTTCCTCATCATTGCTAAGTACTTTCTCTCGATCGCCTCCCATCGCGCGTGAGAGCAGGTTCCGTGTCGACACTTTGAGGCCTTCTTTCTAATCCTTCGTCTTGCCGACTTGCGACGCCCATTGACACGCGTCTCCTGGTAATTAATTCCGGGTGAGTTGCTGTCCTCGTTCCACCTCTCGACTCTCCCTGCCTGCCCCGACACTCCCACGACTCGAGAAAGCGCGCCCTCAATAGACTCAGATTCGCTTCGACAACTCCTCGACGGATGCGCCTGTAGCCTGAGCGGCATCTGTGTTGACCGCGGCCCTTTCTCTCGTTGTCTCCCTACGAACCGACCGAGCTCGTATAGCTGGCCTTTCCCCTAACGTAGCTAACCTCAACCTCTAGAACCCGTACTTTCCCACGAGTCCCTTTTCATCGATCGTTCTTGATACATCACTATGGGTAAGATGCTTCTTTCTTTTTCGCGTGCGCAGACCACGCCACATGGCAGCCGGCAGAGGCAGAAGAGAGGAGGAAGGAGCTGCCCCCTCTTGGCCACGAGGACAACTTTCTCTGGAGCTGGACCGGCTTCTCTCATCATCACCATCGCTTCTCGATAACGCGACGACATTCGTTCTTCCGCCATCTACGCTTTCTTGGGTCCTCTTCTTAGCCCCTTTTTGGTCTCGAAGCATTCCTCGTTGAAAATCAGCTCTTCACTGCAACCCCTGGATCAGCCATGACCTTCGACCTGATCCAACACGTCAAGGCACGCACCCGGAGTGTGCATTTCGACAAGGGCACATTTTCGTTGACCTCTACATCCCCTGTCGAGTCGAGTGCGAAAACGTCCAATGATTCCAAGAGAGCGAGCAGCCTTCCGGTGGGACAAGAGAACCAATCCCCATCTCCTGATTCCAGCCGTACAGCCATCCAGTATCGCAGCATGCCTGAGGTCGAAGCAGAGGAACCTCCGACATTGAGCCCGATGAATCCCATGAGCTTTGACGAGCTATACGTCGATCCTACCCAATCGCCCGATTGGAATCAGCCCAGACCCTCGAGACTCGGCACCAAGAAGATCGCCAGATTGATCCTCGCAAGTGGCCAACAAAGCGCAGCAGATTCATCGAGTCAGGACTCCTCTTGCCTCTGCATCTGCTAGAATATTTATACATCAATTTTCCTCGTCACCTGCTAACACTCTATTAATAGCTTCTCCCGGCAGCGAATCCCCGGCTCTGGCCCCTTCAGCCTCGCCCCCTAATGGTAAGTTACATCCCGACTTCTATCTAGCTTTCCACTAACCATGCACAGTTCCCTCTCAGCCGCCTCCCGCTGCTGACAACCGGAACATTGTCCGAAGAAAGCTCACTGGATATGTTGGTTTCGCCAACCTGCCCAACCAGTGGCACCGCAAGAGTGTCCGAAAGGGCTTCAACTTTAACGTGATGGTGGTTGGTAAGTTAAACGACGGCCATCTTATAGGAGTCTGCTAACAGTACTAGGCGAGTCCGGCCTGGGCAAGTCTACTCTGGTTAACACCCTCTTCAACACCTCGCTCTACCCTCCCAAGGAGCGCAAGGGCCCTAGCCTCGACATCATTCCCAAGACCGTCACCATCCAGTCCATTAGCGCCGACATTGAGGAGGCCGGTGTTCGTCTTCGCCTCACCGTTGTCGATACCCCTGGATTCGGCGACTTTGTGAACAACGACGAGTCGTGGCGCCCCATTGTCGACAACATTGAGCAGCGATTCGACTCGTACCTCGATGCCGAGAACAAGGTCAACCGCATGAACATTGTTGACAACCGAATTCACGCCTGTGTTTTCTTCATCCAGCCCACTGGCCACTCCCTGAAGCCTCTTGACATTGAGGTGATGCGACGCCTGCACACCAAGGTCAACCTGATCCCCGTCATTGCCAAGGCCGATACCCTCACCGATGAGGAGATTGCCAACTTCAAGGCCAGAGTAAGTTGCCTGTCATTATTTTAGACATCAAACACTAACCACGCGCAGATCTTGGCCGACATCAAGTACCACGGAATCCAGATCTTCGAGGGCCCCCGATACGAGCTCGATGACGAGGAGACCATCGCGGAGAACAACGAGATCATGTCCAAGGTTCCTTTCGCCGTTGTTGGTGCCAACAACGAGATCACCAGCGCCGATGGTCGCAAGATCCGTGGCCGTGCTTACCCCTGGGGTATCATCGAAGTGGATAACGAGGAGCACTGTGACTTTGTCAAGCTCCGACAGATGCTCATCCGAACCCACATGGAGGAGCTCAAGGAGCACACCAACAACCAGCTGTACGAGAACTACCGTACCGACAAGCTGCTCGCTATGGGTGTGTCGCAGGATCCCAGCGTGTTCAAGGAGGTCAACCCCGCCGTCAAGCAGGAGGAGGAGCGTGCCCTGCACGAGCAGAAGCTCGCCAAGATGGAGGCGGAGATGAAGATGGTGTTCCAGCAAAAGGTCGC